CTCCTCCTCCTTGCTCGGGCAGGCTTCGGCGTTCGTCGTCCCCGGAGTACTAGCTGCTGCCGATTGGTCTCTCATTGGTTATTTTGTGTGTGATTGTTCGTTGTCATTCCGGCAGTTGCTTTGTATGTACGGGTCTTTGTGTTTTCCTCCCTGTTTGGAGGTTTGTTGTTTTGAACGTTGATTTTACTGTGTTCAGTAAAGTATGTTGCCAGCCGCTCTGTGTCCTGCGCTTGACTTCGCTGACCGCATACACGTCACGTGACAGAATCACACACCTAGACATGGAGTCAGCAGGAGCGGCGGTGCCAGCTGGATCAATGGAGGAGCGCGTAACACAACAAGCGGCCATTATCCAGGCTCTCGGCACCGCCATGGAAGGGGTGATGAACACCTTGGAGCGATGGGAAAGAGGAGGTTTGCCCACACCTCCTCCGACGATACCACCACTATCAGCTATACCCATCGCTTCACCTCCGGGGTCCAGTGGGAGTCGGCTCTCGCTCCCGAGGGCTTATGATGGCACCGCGGCCGGGTGTCAGGGTTTCCTGCTCCAAGTGGAACTTTACCTGGCAACCATCCACCCGGTGCCCTCGGGATACGAGAGCGTGTCCGCCCTCATCTCCTGTCTGTCCGGCAAGGTGCTGGAGTGGGCCAACGGCGAGTGGGGGGGAATAGACGCCGCTACAGTCAACTATGCGGAGTTCACCCGCCGCTTCAGGTGAGCGTCTGTTCCACCTCAGACAGGGGAAGAGGAGCGCGCAGGAGTTCGCACTGGACTTCCGGACTCTGGCTGCCAATGCGGGATGGAATGAGAGGGCCCTCATCGACCACTACAGGTGCAGCCTGAGGGAGGACGTGCGTCGGGAGTTGGCCTGCAGGGACACCAACCTAAGCTTCGATCAGCTGGTGGACATGTCGATTTGCCTAAATACCCTGTTGGCTACCCGCGGACGTCCGGAGTCGGGGCCGTCCATTCCATCCCACAGCACTTCCGAGCCGAGCCCTATGGAGCTCGGGGATGCTGGTGCTAGGGAGACTAGGAGAGAGACCAGGAGAGAGGCCATCCCCTGCACCAACTGTGGCCGCAGAGGACACACTGCGGGTCGGTGCTGGGGAGGGTCTCCTAGGAATCGAGGCAGTAGGCAGCGCACTGATGAGTCATTCCAGGTGAGTAAGCACCCAACTCACCCAGAGCTCTCTGTTGTACATATGTGTATTAAAGTTGTGTTTCCCGAGGTTTCTCCTCACTCCCAGCATAAGGCGCTAGTAGATTCAGGCGCAGCTGGGAATTTTATCGATCGCCGGTTCACGTATAAGTTAGAGATTCCTATTGTACCAGTTGATGTGCCCTTCCCCATCCATGCCCTAGATAGCCGCCCTTTGGGGTCAAGATTGATTAGGGAGGTCACAGCGCCACTTAAGATGAAGATGCAGGAGGGCCATGAGGAGATTATACGGTTGTATTTGATTGACTCTCCTGCGTTTCCCGTGGTGTTGGGGCTTCCCTGGTTAACATCTCATGACCCCAACATTTCATGGCAACAGAGGGCTCTCAAGGGATGGTCTGATCAGTGTGTCGGGCGGTGTGTAGGTGTTTCCGTAGGGGCAACGACGGTGGAAAGTCCGAACCAAATTCCCACCATGCACATTCCTCCTGAGTATGCCGATTTGGCACTCGCCTTCTGTAAAAAGAAGGTGACTCAATTACCACCTCATCGACAGGGGGATTGTGCGATAGACCTCCAGGTAGGCGCTGCGCTTCCTCGTAGTCATGTGTATCCTCTGTCTCAGGAGGAGACGGCAGCTATGGAGACATACGTCACCGAATCTCTGAGACAGGGATACATACGATCGTCCACTTCCCCTGCTTCCTCGTGTTTCTTTTTTGTGAAGAAGAAGGATGGGGGTTTACGCCCGTGTATTGATTACCGTGGTCTCAATCAGATTACAATCAAATACAGCTATCCTCTCCCTCTGATTGCTAGTATGACGGAGTCATTACACGGGGCGCGATTCTTCACAAAATTGGATCTCAGGAGCGCGTACAACCTGGTGCGCATCAGGGAGGGAGATGAGTGGAAGACAGCATTCAGTACCACCTCGGGTCACTATGAGTACCTCGTCATGCCATACGGTTTAATGAATGCTCCTTCAGTCTTCCAATCGTTTGTGGACGAGATTTTCCGGGATTTGCATGGACAGGGTGTAGTGGTGTATATTGATGACATTCTAATATACTCCGTGACACGAGCCGAGCATGTGTCCCTGGTGCGTCGGGTGCTTGGTAGACTGTTGGAGCATGACCTGTATGTGAAGGCGGAGAAATGTCTGTTCTTCCTGGAGTCCATCTCCTTCCTGGGACATCGGTTGTCCGCGTCAGGGGTGGAGATGGAGATTGACCGCGTTTCAGCCGTGCGTAATTGGCAGACTCCCACCACGGTGAAGGAGGTGCAGCGGTTTTTGGGTTTTACCAATTACTACCGGAGGTTTATCCGGGGCTTTGGACAGGTAGCAGCTCCCATCACCTCCCTGATAAAGGGGGGCCCGGTGCGTTTGCAGTGGTCGGCTGAGGCGGACAGGGCGTTTAGACATCTGAAGGACCTGTTCACCTTGGCTCCGGTGCTGGCACATCCGGATCCCTCTTTGGCGTTCCAAGTTGAGGTGGATGCGTACGAGGCGGGGATCGGTGCTATACTGTCTCAGCGCTCGGGCACGCCTCCAAAACTCCGGCCCTGTGCTTTCTATTCTAAGAAGCTCAGTCCGGCTGAACGCAATTATGACGTGGGGGACAGGGAGCTGCTAGCGGTGGTTCAAGCCCTGAAGGTGTGGAGGCATTGGCTTGAGGGGGCTAAACACCCTTTTCTCATTCTGACTGACCATCGTAACCTGGAGTACATCCGGGCAGCGAGGAGACTGAACCCTCGTCAGGCTAGGTGGGCCATGTTTCTTACCCGATTTGTATTTAAGCTCACTTATAAACCAGGGTCACAGAACGCTAAGGCAGACGCCCTGTCCCGACGATATGACACAGAGGAGAGGTCCATTGAGCCCACTCCCATACTTCCGGAGTCTTGTCTGGTGGCACCGGTGGTGTGGGAGGTCGATGCGGACATCGAGCGGGCGTTACGTGCCGACCCTACTCCCCCAAAGTGTCCAGAGGGACGGAAGTACGTGCCGCTCGAGGTCCGTGATCGACTGATATATTGGGCTCACACGTCATCCTGGTATTGGTCGGACAGTGCACTGCCTTAGTGGGAAGTACTGGTGGCCCACCTAGGGACGTGAGGGTTTACGTTTCTTCCTGCTCGGTGTGCGCCCAGTGTAAGGCGCCTAGACACCTGCCCAGAGGGAAGTTACAACCCCTACCCGTTCCACAACGGCCGTGGTCTCACCTATCGGTGGATTTTGTCACGGACCTTCCTCTCCCAGGGGAATACCACGATCTTGGTCGTTGTGGATCGGTTTTCTAAGGCCTGCCGTCTCATTCCTATGCCAGGTCTTCCTACAGCCCTACAAACGGCCAACGCCCTGTTTACTCACGTCTTCCGGCACTACGGGGTGCCTGAGGATATAGTGTCTGATCGGGGTCCCCAGTTCACCTCTAGAGTCTGGAGGGCGTTTATGGAACGTCTGGGGGTCTCGATTAGCCTTACGTCTGGTTTTCACCCTGAGAGTAATGGGCAGGTGGAGAGAGTAAACCAGGATGTGGGTAGGTTTCTGAGGTCCTATTGCCAGGACCGGCAAGAGGAGTGGTCGGGGTATATCCACCACTCCTCCACTAATCTTACGCCTTTACAGTGTGTGCTGGGTTATCAGCCGGTCCTGGCACCCTGGCATCAGAGCCAGATCGAAGCCCCTGCGGTGGATGAGTGGTTTCGGCGCTCGGAGGAAACATGGAACGCTGCGCATGTCCATCTGCAGCGGGCTATCAGACGGCAAAAGGCGAGCGCCGATCGCCACCGCAGTGAGGCTCCGGTTTATGCACCGGGAGATCGGGTCTGGCTCTCGACCCGAAACCTGCCCCTTCGCCTGCCCTGCCGGAAGCTGGGTCGGCGGTTTGTGGGGCCATTTAAAGTCCTGAGGAGATTGAACGAGGTATGTTATAGGTTACAACTGCCCATTAATTACCGCATTAACCCCTCGTTCCATGTGTCTCTCCTCAGGCCGGTGGTAGCTGGTCCACTCCAGGAGAATAAGATATGAGAGGCTCCTCCGCCCCCACTAGACATCGAGGGGGCTCCGGCATACTCAGTCCGTTCCATCGTGGATTCGAGGCGTCGGATGGGGGGTCTGCAGTATCTCGTGGAGTGGGAGGGGTACGGTCCGGAGGAACGGTGCTGGGTACCTAGGAGGGACATCCTAGATCACTCCCTGTTGAGGGATTTCCACCGGAGTCATCCGACTCGCCCTGCTCCGCGTCCTCCTGGCCGTCCCCGAGGCCGGGGTCGGCGCACGGCTGGAGCCGCGCGTCAAGGGGGGGGGTACTGTCACAGATTTAGCCGAGGCTGCTCCTCCTCCTTGCTCGGGCAGGCTTCGGCGTTCGTCGTCCCCGCAGTACTAGCTGCTGCCGATCGATGTTTCGGTGTTTGTCTTGTTTGGTCTTTATTGTTTACACCTGTTTCCCATTATGTTGGATTGTATTCCCTATATTACCCCCTGTCTCTCATTGGTTATTTTGTGTGTGATTGTTCGTTGTCATTCCGGCAGTTGCTTTGTATGTACGGGTCTTTGTGTTTTCCTCCCTGTTTGGAGGTTTGTTGTTTTGAACGTTGATTTTACTGTGTTCAGTAAAGTACGTTGCCAGCCGCTCTGTGTCCTGCGTTTGACTTCGCTGACCGCATACACGTCGCGTGACAACTGGTTTAACCTAATCGCCAGATTTGTATGTGCTTTAGCCAACCCCTCTGACTTTCCTTGGCATCACATAAATTCAGTATAACAACAAATACGATAGTTGGCTAAAGCATAACCCAATCTTGCAATCGGGTTAGTACTGGTTAGGCCTTCTTCAGAGCGTTGCGCAGGTCAGTGTAGAAGTTGATGAGGGTGCCGGCCATTGCCATGTTCACAGCAGACTGGGGATCATCCCACGGAGGTCTGTCTGGGTGTACCCCGTCAGGAGGCTCTGGGCTGAGGTGGTGGTGCTGTCTGGTGTGGGCACTCAGAACCAGCCACACGGGAGGTTGAAGCCTCGGACATAACTCTGGTGCTCCTTCTCATGGTCCACACTGATATCTGGTGGAGACAGAATAAATCTGTGGTCAGACAACATTCTGGTCCGGTTCTCCCTAAAATATGTTGACCCTGCATATGAACCTATAAGGCTTGTGAAAATATACTATTTCCATGTAAAAAATAGTAGTTCCTAAAGGTTAGAAAAATGTCAACGTTTCGGTTAACCATGATCATCGGACATCGGACCGAAAGGCAAACACGAACACCTACACAGAGCTAGTATTACATAGAAAACATGTCCTGGATCCTAGTCTTTAAACCTGTAACCTGGGAGCCTGTTTGGGATTATTTTAGTTAGATAATAATATTGTAGTTAGAAGAAAGCAGTGGACACCAGACTTACACACAGGTGAAAATCTAAGGAAAAGAACAACAACGTAAGGAAGCATCTTTGTATTTATTATGCTGCCTTCCCTTATGGTTACTTCATTGCATGTTGCTACTCACCACAGGACAATACACCATCCCTGTAAGTCTGTGGTGTAGGAGAAATCAATTAACTCTCTGGGAGCGATGATGTTCCACAGCTGGCCTGCAGTTGTGTGCCTCAACACACAACAGCCCTGCAGACAGAGAGAGATCACCTTAGCCATTCATTCCATTAGATAACATGCCAACAAAGCCCTCTTATATAACCTAATAAGACAGATGGAATATAATTATTCTGACCAATGGAGTAATATTTTAGACCAGTGGGTCTACTTAAGTGTGATGAAAGGAGAATTAAGCAAACAGAAATCTGTGTGCAGTGAAGTCCACATTTATCATTATGAGAGAAGTAAGCTACTTTTGCCATTTGATCAAGTTATCAATGAGGACTTAAGGGATGGGTTTATCTGATCGAGGGTTTCTATTATGTCCATTGCTGTCATCAAACTATCCCAGTGCGTAAGTAATCCACTTTTCTATTTGGGTGATCGTCAACCATACCCTGGGCTTTATAACTGCAAGATAAAACCATTACGCATCAGATCATACAGTAAACCTTTCTTTTTCTTTTTTTTAATCAATAGTAGGGAATGTGACCACTACAATATGGTTAAAACACAGAATATAGGCATGGTATTTGTGATTTTATATCAAAACCTATAGAAGTAGAAGAAACATTCTGGTGCAAGTGCAGTTTTGCACACACACAAAATGAGCTTGGGAGGAAATGAAAGTGGTTGAAGAGGTGTGTGGTATACATGCCTTTCATTGTTTTATCCAGTTCACAGTTCTAGGGAGCGAGAACGTTTTTGTAATGTTACCAGTAATGTTCCCTTGATGTTTATGTGTCCAGTTTTCCGTTAGTCATGGGAACATTCTCTGTATGTTGGCAAAAACCTCCTAAGAACCTATTTAGCATGTTTTTGCATTAGATTTAGGAGAACATCCCCTTAATGTCAAACAGAACTTACCCAGAACGTGGTTACCATGTTCTCAGAATATACAATGTTAATGTTCTTGACACGTTTCATTGAACATTGCAAGAACATTCATGTGTCCAGTTTTCTGATGGTTAGAATACATTTCAATTAAGGTCTCACCAAACATACTGTACAAAGAACATGATTGCCATGTTCTCAGAATATAAGATATTCATGTTATAGACGTGTTTCATGGGACCTTGCAAGACCATACATATATGTATCCAGTTTTCTGAGGGTTAGGATAATATTCCATCAACGTCACACCAAACATACACAGAACATGGTTGCCATGTTCTCAGAATATAAGATATTCTGCTGTGGGCTGTGTAGTCCGCGGTCTGCACCCCCCTCAGCCAGAGCCTCTACTAGCCATAGTTAAGGAGCCTCCCGCTCCAATCGTTGAGCCACAGCCAGCCGCTGCCATGAGGCTCGTCCTCTCTTCCCAGTGGGTATCCCCTGCTAGTCGATGCCTGAGGTTCGACTGTCTGCTGCTCTGGAACCTTCAACTACGAAGTCTCCACCTGCCTCTCCCGCTACTGGTCTGGAACCCAGGCCAACGGTGGATTCCTCACCTGCTCCTAGGATGGAGCCACAGCCTGCAGCTACTGTAAATATCAAGTGCAGCCAGGACGTTGGGGCCTCTTCAGCCCCACCTGCCAGCACCGTGCTAGTTCCAGCCCCGAGGTTTCTGCTACCTCCAGACCTTCCAGACCTTGCCTCACAGGACCTGCCATACATCACAGTGGGTGACCCACCAGAAGTCACCCCTGATGTCTCCCCTGACCTAGATGTCCAGTTCCCTGCCACCACGGTAGGGTCAGAGTTTCCTGCCCCTCAAATAGGTCCAGTGTGTCCTGCCCCTAAGGTAGGTCTAGAGTTTCCTGCCTTCCTGGTCCCCCCCCCACATTTGCTTCGCCGGCTGGTCTGCAGACTTCTGTCCTACTCAGATCACGGCCCTGGCTTATCGGGTATGCAGCTCCCTATCCCGCCAGGCTTGGAGCCCACTGCCATGCTAGGCCCTACGTTAGCTGCCCCGTTTGCAAGTCTACAGTCTAATGCCCTGCTCAGATCGCAGCCCACTGCCTTAGTTGGTAGGCAGTTACCTAGCCCGCCAGGTTTAGGGACTCCTGCCCTATTAGGCCTTAAGTTAGCTACCCTGTTTGCAGGTCTGCAGTCTCCTGCCCTGCTCAGATCGCAGCCCTCTGCCTTAGTTGGTAGGCAGTTGCCTAGCCCGCCAGGTTTAGGGCCTCCTGCCCTATGAGGCCCAGAGTATGCTGCACAAGGCTCGCTGTCTCCAGACATAGTCAGCATGCAGTTGCCTAGCCCACCAGTCTTTCAGCCTCCTGCTTACTAGGCCCCAATTTACCTGTGCTAGTTATCAATCCTTTACCCTCTGCTGCCGTCAGTCCCTAGCACTAGGTCCTCAGTCTCCAGCTGTACTAGATCTGCTGTCTACAGCACTAATCTGCCCTCAGTCCGTCATCTAGAGGGGTCATCAGGCTCCTGCATGGCTAGGCTCAGAGTTACCAGTTCCTCTAGTAGGCCCAGAGTGCTACCGCTCTCCTATCTCTCAGTCAGTTTCCCTGCCAGGTTCAGAGTTGTCCTCCCTGTCAGGTCCAGTGTCAGCCTGTCATGTCCAGAGTCAGTTTCTCTGTCATGTCCAGAGTCAGTTTCCCTGTCATGTCCAGAGTCAGTTTCCCTGTCATGTCCAGAGTCAGGTTCCCTGTCATGTCCAGAGTCAGGTTCCCTGTCATGTCCAGAGTCAGGTTCCCTGTCATGTCCAGAGTCAGGTTCCCTGTCATGTCCAGAGTCAGGTTCCCTGTCATGTCCAGAGTCAGTTTCCCTGTCAGGTCCAGAGTCATTTTCCCTGTCAGGCCCTCAGTTATCAGCACTAGGCTCTCAGCCTTCTACCGGTCAAATTTAGCTGTATCCAACTCTAGTCGGCACTCAGTCCACTGCTCCCACTAGGTCTGCAGCCTCTGCCCTCAGTTGGTCCACAGCCCCTAGCTACTCAGTGCTACATGCCAAACGTCCTGCCCTAGTTCTAGGCCCTGGATCTCCCATTCCCGCTAGGCTCTTAGTTATCTGCTCCTCTAGGTTTGCAGTCCCTGCCCCTAGCCAGTTCACAGCCCTGCTCAGCTAGGTTCGCAGCCTCCCGCCATATCTTGCTTGCAGTCTTCAGTCATAGTTTTAGGTTGTATGTCCCCTGCCCTGTCAGGCTCTGAGTTTCCAGCCCTGCTAGGCAATCAGCCCCCTGACCTGGGGGATCCACCGTTACCTGACTCGGGGGGGCCTGCTGTTTCCAGTTCTGGGGGAGTGCCTCCTCCTGCACTGGAAGACCCTCCGGCCCTCACACCTGGGAAACCACCTGACCTCGTTTCTGGGGCCAATCCGGCCCCTGCCTCCGGATCCCTGATGGGCCTTGCCCAGGGGTCCCCACCTGCTCCACCATGGGAGCCATCATCGTCGGCAGTGGTGAGAGAGTCACAAACCCCAGCAGCAGCTCAGCGAGCTGCTAACGACAGTTGTGGCTGGTGTGCCACATTCCTCCGCCGCAATAGGCGAGCCACCTCCTCCAGCCATGGCCAGCCTTCGGCAGAATACTCTGTGTCCAAGGATGGACCACAGCTGCCCTGAACCAGCTGAGTCATGGCGATCCATGGGGCGGCCAGGACTGTCCCTGGCCCCCATGGTCCTCTAAAAGCAGGGTTTCCCAAACTCGGACTGGACCCCCCCACCCACCCCTGGGTGCACATTTAGTGTTTTGTCCTAGCATTACACAGCTTATTCAAAAATCAAAGCTTGATGATGAGTTGGTTATTTGTATCAGCTGCTAGGGCAAAAACAGAAACATGCACCCATGGGAAACTCTGCTCTAAAGTGAAAGTAGTAATCAGCTGCCCTTTAGTTTGGCCAGATTCACACTACGACTGGACCCGTTCTGGTCTGGTTCCTTCACTGCTCTGTCCCTCTGCCCTGCCTGTCCTCCCAGATAGGACTAGGCCCTTTCAGGACTAAGCCCCCCACTGAGGCCTTTTAATATGTGTGGATTTCCACCAGAAATCCAGGGGCGGCTGTAAAAAAGGCCAGCCCTTTCAACCTGATTGGCCTGCAGCCCTGTCAATCACCCTTGAGAAGAAGCAAGTGTTGTGGACAGACTTTTGACATGCTGTTTCCTAACTGAAGTGTTGTGCGTCCATTGACAAGTGAGTAATCTAAGTGAGTGTTGTTTTACTTTACAATGTAATATAACTTTATAAGTATGAAGTTTGCAGTGTTGTTTGCTAGTTCTTAGCTACATGCAAGCTCTGTTTGTTTGTATGTCCTGTGCATGCCTACTCAGTATGTGTATTAGCAATGTTTATATTATATGCATGTTACCGCTGCAATATGTTTATAGCTCAATATGTATAGCTCCAAATGTTACTGTTGTAGTAGCTGATGCCATTATACAGATTCTAGGAGTTTTAGTCCTTTCTGTGCACAGTAGCCTTCAGATAAAAGCTCAGTCAGGCCATACAGTCAGCGGCTTCGTTGTCGAGTTCGACTCCTTTCCCTCTCTCTGGATCTGACGGGGCACTGCCTACTGTGGGAGGGCTGGACCTATCGCCGGGAGCAGCGGGCGTACACTATCCTACTGCTCGTACAGGACATCAATAAGCTGCTCCCAAACATTTTAAACCAGCATCAGCAAATTGAGTCTATCATAGTTCATGTGGGATTCAATGACATTATGAAGGGCAGCTTAGAACAGCTGAAGATGGATTTTAAAGAACTGATTGTGTCACTGCTTGACACCAACAAACGCCCCATAATATCTGGCCCTCTGCCCTCCCTAATCCGTGGCATTGAACGGTTCAGCAGAGTTTTAGCCCTCCATAACTGGCTACGAGACTATTGCAGCTCTGTGGGTGTAACATGTATTGACAATTTTGATACCTTCTGGAAACAAAGCTCATATTATAAGGAGGATGTGATCCACCCAAATCATTTGGATTCCTGGATCCTTTCACAGCATTATAAGGCTGCATTGAGACAATTACTTATCAATGACCCAAGCCCAGCTCATTTAATCCCTACCATTGTGTCGCTGAGTTGTCATAATGCTTCAGCAAATGTACATTATCCCAGGGGCGCTGGAAGACACAAAGTAAGTAACCTAATTTATGTCCCTCTTCCTGCCCTGAATGTCTCTGCTGACCCTACAGCTATTGTATGCAGTAATCATGTGGCTATGAACCAGAGTTATACTGTTAGCACTGAGGCGGTGTGCCCTAGCAGGAAGCCCACTGTTTGCAGCTCATCCTGCACTAACATAAATAACCTGAGCATGTCTACCTCTGCTAAGCTTCCCAGTAAAGCAATAAAAACAATCAAGCATCCCAGAAAAGTGCTAAAAATAGACCACTTTAACATATGTAGCCTAAGAAACAAGGTTCATGAAATCAATAATCTGCTACTAACAGATGACATTCATATTCTGACAATCTCTGAAACTCACTTAGATAATACCTTTGATGATACAGTGGTAGCAATACATGGTTATAAGATCTACAGAAAAGACAGAAATGCCAAAGATGGAGGTGTGGCCGTTTATATTCAGAACCACATTCCTGTAAAGCTTAGAGAGGATCTCATGTTAAATACTGTTGAAGTAATATGGCTACAGGTTCATCTGCCTCACCTAAAGCCCATTCTGGTGGGAAGCTGCTATAGACCACCAAGTGCTAACAGTTAGTATCTGAATAACGTGTGAAATGCTTGATAATGAATGTGATATCAACAGAGGTATATTTTCTGGGTGATTTAAATATTGACTGGCTTTCATCAGACTGCCCACTCAAGAGAAAGCTTCAAACTGTAACTAGTGCCTGTAACCTGGTTCAGGTTATCAGTCAACCTACCAGGGTAGTTACAAACAGCACAGGAATTAAATCATCAACATGTATTGATCACATCTTTACTAATGCTGTAGAAATCTGCTTGAAAGCAGTATCCAAATCCATCGGATGTAGTGATCACAATATAGTAGCCATATCTAGGAAAACCAAAGTTCCAAAGGCTGGGCCTAATATAGTGTATACAATACGTTTTGTAGTGATTCCTATGTTGTTGATGTAAAGAATATTTGTTGGTCTGTGTAAAATACACAGTCTCCAAAACAACGGAGAAAACGAACGACCTGTACACTGTCGAATGACACAAACAATAACACACAACACACAATGCACGACAGAGGGTTGAATAGGGAATACAATACAACATAATGGGGAACAGGTGTACACAATCAGACACAACAAGTCAAACACCGAGACATAGATCGGTGGCAGCTAGTACTCCGGGGACGACGAACGCCGAAGCCTGCCCGAGCAGGGAGGAGGAGCAGCCTCGGCTGAATCCGTGACACTGACAACTTGGATGGAAAATGACTGAGGATAATAGCGGACGATATTGCCACATCTTCAATTTAAGCCTACTAGAAAGTGTGTGCCCTCAGGCCTGAAAGGAAGCAAAAGTAATTCCCCTACCTAAGAATAGTAAAGCCCCCTTTACTGGCTCAAATAGCCAACCTATCAGCCTGTTACCAACCCTTAGTAAACTTTTGGAAAAAATTGTTTGACCAGATACAATGCTATTTTACAGTAAACAAATTGACAACAGCACGCTTATAGCGAAGGACATTCAACAAGCACAGCACTTACACAAATGACTGATGATTGGCTGAGAGAAATTGATCATTAAAATATTGTGGGGGCTGTTTTGTTAGACTTCAGTGCGGCTTTTGACATTATTGATCATAGTCTGCTGCTGGAAAAACGTATGTGTTATGGCTTTACACCCCCTGCTGTATTGTGGATAAAGAGTTACCTGTCTAACAGAACACAGAGGGTGTTCTTTAATGGAAACCTATCCAACATAATCCTGTGAATAAAGCCAGTGTGTCTATGTATGTGGATGACTCAACACTATACACGTCAGCTACTGCAGCGACTGAAATGACTGCAACACTTAACAAAGAGCTGCAGTTCGTTTCAGAATGGGTGGCAAGGAATAAGTTAGTCCTAAATATTTCAAAAACAAAAATTTGTATTTGGGACAAATCACTCACTAAACCCTAAACCTAAACTAAATATTGTAATGAATAATGGAGAAATTGAGCAAGTTGAGGAGACTAAACTGCTTGGAGTAACCCTGGATTGTAAACTGTCATGGTCAAAACATATTGATACAACATTAGCTAAGATGGGGAGAAGTCTCTCCATAATAAAGCGCTGCTCTACCTTCTTAACAGCACTGTCAAAAAGGCAAGTCCTACAGGCCCTAGTTTTGTCGTACCTGGACTACTGTTCAGTTGTGTGGTCAGGTGCCACAAAGAGGGACTTAGGAAAATTGCAATTGGCTCGGAACAGGGCAGCATGGCTGGCCCTTAGATGTACACAGAGAGCTAACATTAATACTATACATGTCAATCTCTCCTTGCTCAAAGTGGAGGAGAGATTGACTTCATCACTACTTGTATTTGTGAGAGGTATTGACATGTTGAATGCACCAAGATGTCTGTTTGAATTAATGGCACACAGCTCAGACACCCATGCATACCCCACAAGACATGCCACCAGAGGTCTCTTCACAGTCCCCGAGTCCAGAACAGACTATGGGAGGCGCACAGTACTACATAGAGCAATGACTACATGGAACTCTATTCCACATCAAGTAACTCATGCAAGCAGTCACATTTGATTAAAAAAAACAGATACAAATACACCTTATGGAACAGCGGGGACTGTGAAGCAACACAAACATAGGCACAGACACATGCATACAAACACACGATAACGTATGCACTATACACACACGTACACATGGATTTTGTGTTGTAGATATGTGGTGGTAGAGTAGGGGCCTGAGGGCACACACTTAATGTGTTGTAAAATCTGTTGTGAATTTATTGTAATGTTTTTAAAATTGTATAACTGCCTTAATTTTGCTGGACCCCAGGAAGAGTAGAGCTAATTGGGATCCATAATAAATACAAATACAAATAAAGAGAGCCATAAAGCTCCATTGCCTTAGGCCTTCTTCTTCTCTCTCTCTGGCTATAGATTCCTAATGATGTATGTTGCTATACCTTTGCAGTCATTCATGTTTATATTATGCCACAGTTTGCACCTTGGCTTATTGTATTGTATGTGTATTTATTTGTTAGTCTCTTATTTGTGGATCCAAATGATTGTATTGTTCCTTCCTTTTTAGAACCACACAACAATATAAAGAACTATAATGGAATTAGCTGTGTGCCTGTGTTCAGTATGGGCCTCAACATCATGTTCTGACTGGACAGCACTATAGTGGGCAGAACCAAAACCAATCAGCATGAAGTATATAGCGGTGACGGCATATCCAGCCAACCGCACAGACGAGCTCCAGCTAGCCGTTTTTTCATGGTCTTAGTTCTCGCCCAGCGACCAACTGTTTTTTTTCAAAGTTGGAGTAATAACATGTTCAACTATTTAAGACATTGGTTCGAATCTAGGTTGTGCCTTTAGATTTCGATAAAATGAACAACTAAAGAATCATTTTCACTTCTCTCATTGACATCTCAAACCCCAAACCCCGACCTGGCCTGCATGGTCTGTTTTGTAAGTGTTCCTGGAAGTCTCGCAATGTTGCGCCTTGGGTTTAGAATCTCTGATAGTATCCTAGTTCAGTTTTCATGTCTTTACAAACGATGCGCAATAATTCAGTTCCTCAAGTGAGAGCTCCTCTATCACCCAATCAGAAGTCTAGTCGTTTCCCGTGTTTGGTATGTTTCGTGGTCCTATTGGTCAGATGCTTTATGGTATATTGGACCAACGAGTGGGCTATGGTGGAGAGTTGTATAGGAGCCTGAATGAATGGGTGCGCTCGTTTTGCAAGCCAATGTGTAAGCGGCACAGGCGGAAACACCGGTTTGTATTGAGTTCAGTCTTTTGACATCCGTCCTGCCGGTCCTGGAGATCCAGGTTTTTGGATCAAGCACAAAGCCCTTCACCGATGTGCCCAGTGCAACAGCCTGAATTCCATTTAAAAAACCTGATACCTACCTTCCCTATTATTACTTTTCTCCTGGATGACTTTTTCAAATGATTGGATAGATGGAAAGGGATTCAAACAGTTTAAACCATCTCTGGCAGAGTTGTGTTGACGGAAAGGAGAACATTTTCCCATTTGGAATCCAGCAAGGTTGATCTAAATTCAAATCACTCAAAGAAAAACAAAACATTGGTAATTGCCAGCCAAAATCATATTGAAATCATGAGCAATCAGGGTTCATGTACATTTTCTATGAGCTTTAATTTACTGGATAAAATGCAAGATGATATCAATAAATATTTTATTAGACTCCATTAATCTGTTCAATGAACAAGACACAGCTGTCTATTGGGGAATTCCTGCTGACTGTTTAAAAGTTACATAAAAGGGTCGAGCTGGTGTCATTGTACACAATATAATCTCATATAGTCTTTACGCTGCAAACGTCAGTTATTTTGCAATCAAGAGAAGTGACAGCACCATAATTTACAGCAAATAACTATTACTGCTGTTGTCTATCTAATGTGACTATAAATCAAATGTAACAATTGTTTAGCATTATATGAGGGACTTTAGTCTCTTTTATGAGAATTGTGTTGCATGTTAAAAGATGCCGATTCTTTTGGCACAGTTATAAGCCTGATCTTGTCAATGCAATGCCTTGTTTTGTCAACATGTGACATCTATCAACTAGCCTATAAGGAATCTTCAAGAATGACAGAGAGTAAATGGTAGGTGTGTACCTCCAGTAAAAATAATAGCCAATATCTTCAAACACATTTATGTCTGGACATAACTGTTTGGTAAATGAATTGTCTCATTGAAGATGTGAGGTTATTCAGGTTAACATTAATTATGTATCCCAAGATGTACAGTAATACATTATAAATTGTTTAAAGGAAATAGATCCAATCCATTTCATCACCCCTAATGTCTTACCATTTCTGATTTCAATATTATCAGATAGTTTACAGGTAATTGTTAATCCCAAAAAAATTCGGAATAATGGGATTCTTTGAGTGTTGCACCTAATACATTATCTCTTCCCTAATGCATAAGTAGGAGTCTCCTATGGGTGTATGAGGACAAGTAAATCATCAACTATTTGTTTCCTCTTCAGCCATGTTGGTCCTAGGCTAGCCTACATCCCAGGCTCAATGGTTGTTGGTGTAATGCCTTTTTCGTGTATTGGGGTAATGCCACTTTCATGTGTGATTTCAGGGCTCGATTTTTTGTCGACCAACATAATGAGGGCAACAATAATGATAATCAGGGCCATGGCTGCAACAACAGCAATGAGCTTCCAGTTAGCCTTGACGTTGTCACATTTCATCTGCTTCTGCGCCTTCACTGAGGTCTTGTGGAAGGACTTGCTCTAAACAAACAAACAAACCAACCACATCCCAAAGTTAAAATATACCATTATGACAATGTAATAACACCACTGTATCTTGAACATCAAAAAGGACCTCAGGTCAGTGGCAGGCTTGGCCAGAGTGAGGTCTGAACAGCTTTTATGTGAAAAAGTGATGTTCACTGTAAAAAATGTTTTATCTGAATTGGAAGTGTACAGTTGAAGTCGGAAGTTAACATACACCTTAGCCAAATACATTTAAACTCAGTTTTTCACAATTCCTGACATTTAATCCTAGTAAAAATTCCCTGTTTTAGATCAGTTAGGATCACCACTTTATTTTAAGAATGTGAAATGTCAGAATAATAGTAGAGAGAATGATTTATTTCAGCTTTTATTTCTTTCATCACATTCCCAGTGGGTCAGAAGTTTACATACACTCAATTAGTATTTGGTAGCATTGCCTTTAAATTGTTTAACTTGGGTCAAACATTTCGGGTAGCCTTCCACAAGCTTCCCACATTAAGTTGGGTGAATTTTGGCTCTTTCCTCCTGACAGAGCTGGTGTAACTGAGTCAGGTTTGTAGGCCTCCTTGCTCGCACACGCTTTTTCAGTTCTGCCCACACATTTTCTATAGGATTGAGGTCAGGGCTTTGTGATGGCCACTCCAATACCTTGACTTTGTTGTTCTTAAGCCATTTTGCCACAACTTTGGAAGTATGCTTGGGATCATTGTCCATTTGGAAGACCCATTTGCGACCAAGCTTTAACTTCCTGACTGATGTCTTGAGATGTTGCTTCAATATATCCACATCATTTTCCTTCCTCATGATGCCATCTATTTTGTGAAGTGCACCAGTCCCTCCTGCAGCAAAGCACCCCAACAGCAGGATGCTGCCACCCCCGTGCTTCACGGTTGGGATGATGCTCTTCGGCTTGCAAGAAACCCCCTTTTTCCTCCAAACATAACGATGGTCATTATGGCCAAACAGTTCTATTTTTGTTTCATCAGACCAGAGGACATTTCTCCAAAAAGTACAATCTTTGTCCCCATGTGCAGTTGCAAACCGTAGTCTGGCTTTTTTTATGGCGGTTTTGGAGCAGTGGCTTCTTCCTTGCTGAGTGGCCTTTCAGGTTATGTCGATATAGGACTCGTTTTACTGTGGATATAGATACTTTTGTACCCGTTTCCTCCAGCATCTTCACAAGGTCCTTTGCTGTTGTTCTGGTATTGATTTGCACTTTTCACACCAAAGTACGTTGATCTCTAGGAGACAGAACGCGTCTCCTACCTGAGCGGTATGATGGCTGGGTGGTCCCATGGTGTTTATACTTGTGTACTATTGTTTGTACAGATGAACGTGGTACCTTCAGGCATTTGGAAATTACTCCCAAGGATGAACCAGACTTGTGGAGGTCTAAAAAAAAAAATCTGAGATCTTGGCTGATTTCTTTTCATGTCAAGCAAAGAGGCACTGAGTTTGAAGGTAGGCCTTGAAATACATCCACAGGTACACCTCCAATTGACTCAAATGATGTCAATTAGCCTATCAGAAGCTTCTAAAGCCATGACATCATTTTCTGGAATTTTCCAAGCTGTTTAAAGGCACAGTCAACTTAGTATATGTAAACTTCTGAACCACTGGAATTGTGATACAGTGAACTATATGTGAAATAATCTGTATGTAAACAATTGTTGGAAAAATTACTTGTGTCATGCACAAAGTAGATGTCCTAACCAACTTGCCAAAACTATAGTTTGTTATCAAGACATTTGTGGAGTGGTTGAAAAACGAGTTTGAATGACTCCAGCCTAAGTGTATGTAAACTTCCGACTTCAACTGTATATATATATATATATATATATATATATATATATATATATATATATATATATATATATAAAACAAAATAGCAGTCCCAGTCTCACCTTCAACTTCAGTTCCCCAGCCCTTTCGTCAAGGTCCTGCACTTTCTCCTTGCGTTCCTCAGTCTTCTCCATGTTCTCCATCATGATGACCTTCACCTCCTCTGCCTCCTCCTGAACCTGGTGCAGCTGACTGTTTTTCTCAGGCTGAGAGAGATGGAGCATGAAATAAATACAACATTATTTATAAAACACTTTTGTGGCGCGATACATGCAGTATCCAGTTAATGTTTTTCAACAAAGTTCATATGAGTTTAACACAAAATACACAGGATTGTTATGATATTTAAAACACTGCGATTTAACAGAACTGTATGAAACAAGAGCTTGCGATGTTTTCAACATCATAACAATCCTGTGTATTTTGTGTTGAAAACTGATATGAACTGGGTTAAAAAACATATGAACCGGATAGTGCATTTACCGCACCACCACAACATGTTGTAAACATAATGATGCCTCCTGCTTGTAGCTGTCGCCCCTTTTCAGGACGATCTCATAATTGAATCAAGACATTGATATCATCCTCAGAAATGTTGAACATCTCACTCAACCTGTAACCACTTGGAATAGAATTTCTAACATAGTTTAAACGTGCCTTGTGATTTTAAGAGAACCTTTGTCAGACAGAAGAAGTGGTAGAATGTGAGTTTTGCTCCTGGGTGAAGTTTCTCATAGGTAAAGATCTAGGATCAGCTTCCCCTCCCTCAATCCTAACCTTTACCATTAGTGAGTGAAATGCAAAAAACTAACCCCAGATCAGCATCTATAAGGGCAACTTCACCCTACTTTTTTTGTTTCTGACAAAAAAGATTACAGAGGTCAAGGTTGGAATATTGCACTCTAAAAAAGGAAGAACTGTGAACCAAGCAAATCAAATTTGTATTTATCACATGCGCCGAATACAACAGGTATAGACTTTACCGTGAAATGCTTGTTTACGAGCCCTTCCCAATGATGCAGTTAAAAATATATATATAACAAAAACAGTAACACAAGAAATAAAATGCACAAGAATGAAGCTATGTACCAGTACCAGATCAATGTGCAGGGGTACAAATGATTTGAGGTAGATATGTAGATAAATGCAGGGTAAAGTAGCTAGGCGTCAGGATAGGTAGAAATAAAGAACAGAGTAGTATTAGCATATGAGTGTGAAAGTGTGTGTGTGTGTGTTTGTCTGTCAGCTGTCATTTTTTTATGAATGTATTTTGCTACAGTAAAATAATGCATGGGGTGGTATTTATTTATGTTTTTATTTAACAAAATATTAGGATAAAAAATATCCCCTTTCAAATAAATTGTATCTATGTATTTGTCATATCAATTCCACATTTGATTGCACTGTGTTCGCTTTGAAAACTCAAATTAATATTATCGTCAATATGTTGTCTGTGTTTAATTAACAGTAAGTAAATCTTATGATTACATTTTTATCCTGCAGGTGTGGTAATGTGTCATCAACGACCTCCAGGTAGGCAAGGATATATGCTGGGGTGTGTGTCAATAAACTAAAGTGGCTTCCTCTCTCCGTCTCCTCCCCATAATCTGCGCAATGTCTGAAAACTAAAATGTAGGATAAAGCCAGAGATAGCATGTGGAATTTCATCTTACCTGTCCGTCGAGTTCTTTGAAATCACTAGGCTACAAGCGAAGGGACAGGGGTGAGGAGAGGAACCTACTTTAGACTATTGAGATGCACCCCCAGGGTGAATGCTCAAACAAAATATAATTTAGCCTAAAACACATTTTAGCGCTTGTAAATGGTGTAGAACTATATTATCACAAAATATAGACTAGGCTCTATGCATCCTCCACATTTATTTAATAGAACATTATTCTGTCAACAAAGGCAAATAAAGTGTAAGTAGCCCATGCATCTGAAGATAAACTCAAAATGATAATAAGTTGGAATGACACATAAAACAATGTAACTTTTCATTTTTTTGATTAATGTTGGATTAATAGCTTACCATGTTTCTGCACGATTTTATTGTTATCCCGAGAATGAAGAACCTCTTTTAGGTCAGTGCAAAGTCCAGTAGAAATTGCATTCTAGTCAGGAGGGATCATGTAAGCATTCGTGACTTACTCACTCCACCTCGTTCGTGATAGTGAACTGTTCTGCACATTATTTTGACAACATCCTTTATATGTAGCCTGCCTAGAGGAAGAGGAGGGCAATATTCCTCCCTGGTTGACCTTTCATAGGTGGTGCTCTATTGCAGTTTGAAAGAATCTCTGGGGAAAATGAAGTTAATCTGTTCTATTATTTTGTATTGTACCGTTATTCTATTCTAATCTATTATAAGGTTATTCAATTATATTATAGTGAAATGCTATCGCATATAGCCTACACTTTATAGTTTGAATGGCAAGGTTTATTGATCAAAATTTGTTTTCTATTTGGATGTTTACATTTTTAAATTGTTTTATTATTTGTGTACTTGTTTGACATTTTACTGCATTGTTAGGAGCTAGTAAAACAAGCATTTTGCTCCATCCGCTACAACATCTGCTAAACTGTGTACACGACCAATAAACTTTGACTCACTGTTGCAGTAATCAAAGACCCAGGGGCCAATTTATGAAATGGAAGGACCTCAATAAGGTAGCCTAAAAATAATGTTATAATTCAATGAGAATTATGCCAACAAATAAGACGGTTGTATACATCACACAGAAAGGAGATTCACAGAGCGTTTACACTACAAGTGGCACTTGCCTAGTCACACTAGCCTCGCCCTCATATGGGTGCTAAAAAAAGCTACCAAGCAAGCTAGGTAGTGCTACGTATCAACAGCCATTGTCAGACAATCCAGTAGGGGTTGGAAGCTATGGTGAGCTCCGATTGGTCACTCACGTCACGATATCGCAGAGGATTTGAATAAAGTTCAGCTTTCCCCAACTGTTCAGCTCCCTCGCCCATGCTCACATCATTCAACGGTCCCCTTGCCCACTCAACTTCTCTCTTTCCTTCCATTGAAAGTGAATGGCATCCGATGTTTCACCGTGCAATGTCGCTTCCTAGTGTAAACACACGTCTGAGCAGGGGAACGTGACCTTTGACTTATGTGGTTAGCTGATATGTAAAATATGCTCCCAATACAGTGAGGGGAAAAAAGTATTTGATCCCCTGCTGATTTTGTACGTTTGCCCACTGACAAAGACATGATCAGTCTATAATTTTAATGGTAGGTTTATTTGAACAGTGAGAGACAGAATAACAACAAAAAAATCCAGAAAAACGCATGTCAAAAATGTTATAAATTGATTTGCATTTTAATGAGGGAAATAAGTATTTGACCCCTCTGCAAAACATGACTTAGTACTTGGTGGCAAAACCCTTGTTGACAATCACAGAGGTCAGACGTTTCTTGTAGTTGGCCACCAGGTTTGCACACATCTCAGGAGGGATTTTGTTCCACTCCTCTTTGCAGATCTTCTCCAAGTCATTAAGGTTTCGAGCCTGACGTTTGGCAACTCGAACCTTCAGCTCCCTCCACAGATTATCTATGGGATTAAGGTCTGGAGACTGGCTAGGCCACTCCAGGACCTTAATGTGCTCCTTCTTGAGCCACTCCTTTGTTGCCTTGGCCGTGTGTTTTGGGTCATTGTCATGCTGGAATACCCATCCACGACCCATTTTCAATGCCCTGGCTGAGGGAAGGTACATGGCCCCGTCCATCTTCCCTTTGATGCGGTGAAGTTGTCCTGTCCCCTTAGCAGAAAAACACCCCCAAAGCATAATGTTTCCACCTCCATGTTTGACGGTGGGGATGGTGTTTTTGGGGTCATAGGCAGCATTCCTCCTCCTCCAAACACGTTGAGTTGATGCCAAAGAGCTCGATTTTGGGCTCATCTGACCACACTTTCACCCAGTTCTCCTCTGAATCATTCAGATGTTCATTGGCAAACTTCAGACGGGCCTGTATATGTGCTTTCTTGAGCAGGGGGACCTTGCGGGCGCTGCAGGATTTCAGTCCTTCACGGTGTGGTGTGTTACCAATTGTTTTCTTGGTGACTATGGTCCCAGCTGCCTTGAGATCATTGACAAGATCCTCCCGTGTAGTTCTGGGCTGATTCCTCACCGTTCTCATGATCATTGCAACTCCACGAGGTGAGATCTTGCATGGAGCCCCAGGCCGAGGGAGATTGACAGTTATTGTGTTTCTTCCATTTGCGAATAATCGCACCAGTGTAAAAACAAAGGGGGGGGGGGGGGGGGGGGGGGGGGGGGGCGGGAGTCAATGTAAATAGTCCGGGTGGCCATTTCATTAATTGTTCAGCAATCTTATGGCTTGGGGTTAGAAGCTGTTAAGGAGCCTTTTGGACTTAGATTTGGCTCTCCGGTACCGCTTGCCGTGCGGTAGCAGAGAGAACAGTCTATGACTTGGGTGACAGGAGTCTTTGACAATTATTGGGGCCTTCTTCTGACAACACCTAGTATATAGTTCCTGGATGGCAGGAAGCTTGGCCCCAGTGATGTACTGGGCCGTACGCACTACCCTCTGTAGCGCCTTACGGTCGGATGCCGAGCAGTTGCCATACCAGGCGGTGATGCAACCGGTCAGGATGCTCTCAATGGTGTAGCTGTAGAACTTTTTGAGGATCTGGGGACCCATGCCAAATCTTTTCAGTCTCCTGATGGGGAAAAGGCGTTGTCGTGCCCTTTTCACAACATTCTTGGTGTGTTTGGACCATGATAGTTTGTCGGTGATGTGGATACCAAGGAACTTGAAGCTCTCAACCTGTTCCACTACAGCCCCGTCGATGAGAATGTGGGCGTGCTCAGTCCTCTTCTTTTTTTCCTGTAGTCCACAATCATCTCCTTTCTCTTGGTCATGTTGAGGGAGAGGTTGTTTTCCTGGCACCACATGGCCAGGTCTTTGACCTCCTCCCTATAGGCTGTCTCATCGTTGTTGGTGATCAGGCCTACCACTGTTGTGTCGTCTGCAAACTTAATGATGGTGTTGGAGTCGTGCCTGGCCATGCAGTCATGGGTGAACAGGGAGTACAGGAGGGGACTGAGCACGCACCCCTGAGGGGCCCTCGTGTTGAGGATCAGTGTGGCAGATGTGTTGTTACCTACCCTTACCACTTGGGGGCGGCCTGTCAGGAAGTCCAGGATCCAGTTGCAGAGGGAGGTGTTTAGTCCCAGGATCCTTAGCTTAGTAATGAGCTTTGAGGGCACTATGGTGTTGAATGCTGAGCTGTAGTCAATAAATAGCATTCTCACGTAGGTGTTCCTCTTGTCCAGTTGGGAAAGGGCAGTGTGGAGTGCAATAGAGATTGCATCATCTGTGGATCTGTTGGGGCGGTATGCAAATTGGAGTGGGTCTAGGGTTTCTGGGATAATGGTGTTGATGTGAGCCATGACCAGCCTTTCAAAGCACTTCATGGCTACAGACGTCAGTGCTACGGGTCGGTAGTCATTTAGGCAGGTTATCTTAGTGTCCTTGGGCACAGGGACTATGGTGGTCTGCTTGAAACATGTTGGTATTACAGACTCAGTCAGGGACATGTTGAAAATGTCAGTGAAGACACTTGCCAGTTGGTCAGCACATGCTTGGAGTACACGTCCTGGTAATCCGTCTGGCCCTCAACCTTGTGAATGCTTAAAAGTCTTACTCACATTGGCTACGGAGAGCGTGATCACATAGTCATCCGGAACAGCTGGTGCTCTCATGCATGCTTCAGTGTTGCTTGCCTCGACGCGAGCATAGAAGTGGTTTAGATCGTCTGGAAGTCTTGTGTCACTGGGCAGCTCGCAGCTGTGCTTCCCTTTGTAGTCTGTAATAGTTTTCAAGCCCTGCCACATCCGACGAGCATCAGAGCCGGTGTAGTACGATTCAATCTCAGTCCTGTATTGACTCTTTGCCTGTTTGATGGTTCGTCGGAGGGCATAGCGGGATTTCTTATAAGCGTCCGGGTTAGAGTCCCACTCCTTGAAAGCGGCAGCTCTACCCTTTAGCTCAGTGCGGATGTTGCCTGTAATCCATGGCTTCTGGTTGGGGTATGTACGTACAGTCACTGTGGAGACGACATCATCGATGCACTTATTGATGAAGCCAGTGACTGATGTGGTGTCCTCCTCAATGCTATCTGAAGAATCCCGGAACATGTTCCAGTCTGTGATAGCAAAACAGTCCTGTAGCTTTATTTTTTGTATTTTTTGGGGGGGGTAGATCAGCTTAATATTGCAGATTGTAACTTCCATCAATGTAATTGTCTGCATCACTTCCAATCCCCCATGTTTTTTATATATATATACTCCCCTTTATTACTTTTCAACCCCGCCATCCTTTCCCTACTTGGGGTAAATTAGTGAACAACAATGCTTAGGCCTCTACTTCCAGCTTATACTTACTATCTACATTTTATGGACACAGTCAATTTTACAACAATTCTATTTTATTTGTTTTTGCTCCTGAACTTTTACTATCAACCTCTCCGATCATTTTCATGATGTCCATCCGGTTTGCTTCTATATGCCATATCTTTTCAACTGTGCTCTTTCCCAAAATGTCCCAACATACAACCTATATACTATTATGGACACAGTATGCTTACATTATTAGTTATCTTGTTAATATTTGTTGTTATTTGTTATTAGTCCCATCCTTCAACTCCATTCAACACCTCCCATCTATCTCTTAACACCATCCATATAGGATTTCTATTTGCCATATATATTTCAACTGTACTGTGATGTTTTACAAAAGTTCTGAACCTTTCTATTCTCATTGCTTCTACAGATTGTGAATTAAAAATAAACATTTTTGCTAAAAGTATTATTATTATATTATTGATCGATTGACTATGACTTTTCAGATCACCCAAATAATGCTATCTGCAAGGTTAGCTCCAAGTAAATATTGCAATCCTTTAGCCATTCATGGACCTGTGTCCAAAAACAAGCTACAAATGGACAGAACCAAAACAAATGATCTAATGATTCTGTCTCATCACAGCAAAATCTGCAGAGCTGGGAAGATTGTATCCCCCATATAAATTGGTAGCAAGAATGTTATATAATAATTTAAATTGAAAGATTCAAATTTTTTAATCCGGTGTCGTTTTGTGTGTCAGTTCATAAACACTATGCCATGGGATCGGTACGTCAAAAATTATACGTCTTCCCAACTATTTTGCAATCTATATGGGACGGCTGTCAATCCTTTGGTCCTTAAATGAAACTGATATATTTTTTTTTTATCACAGTTTTCCTTAGCTTTGTTTTTAAGCCCTGGATTTCTAATCCTCTGATATTATTATTGGATCTGATTTTAATAGCTAAAATCTCGATGGCCACATTAAATAGATATGCCGATAGTGGACAACCTTGTTTCACGCCTCTTGACAGTTTAAAACTTTCTGAGAAGTAGCCATTATTGACTATTTTACACCTAGGGTTACTATACTATATGATTTTGACCCATTTTATAAGAGATTCTCCAAAATTGAAATGCTCCAGGCATTTATATATAAACCCCAGTCGTACTTTATCAAATGCCTTTTCGAAGTCTGCTATGAATAGCAGGCCTGGTTTCCCATATTTTCCATAGTGTTCTATGGTTTCCAATACTTGCCTTATATTATCTCCAATGTATCTTCCATGTAAAAAACCTGTCTGATTAGAATGAATAATATCCGACAATACCTTTTTAATTCTATGCGCTATACATTTTGCTAGAATCTTTGCATCACAACACTGAAGTGTAAGGGGCCTCCAATTTTTTTAATGGACTGGATCTTTATATTTTCCATTTGTATCCTGTTTCAGTAATAATGAGATCAGACCTTCTTCTTGAGTGTCAGATAATCTACCATTTACATAGGAGTGATTAAAACATGCTAATAACGGTCCTCTTAGTATATCAAAAAAGGTTTGGTATACCTCGACTGGTATGCCATCCAACCCTGGAGTTCTCCCAGACTTAGAGTCTTTAATTGCATTCAGAAGTTCCTCCTCTGTAATTTCACCTTCACATGATTCTTTCTGTATGGCTGTTAATTTTACATTATCAATAGAAAAAAAATCTCTACAATTAGCTTCAGTTAGAGGAGATGGAGGCGACTGAAAATAAAACATATGCTTAAAGTACCTGGTTTCCTCCTTCAAAATATCATTTGGTGAATCATGGGTGACTCCGTCAATTGTAACCAATTTCATTAAATTCTTTTTGGTAGCATTCCTATGTTGAAGATTAAAAAATAATGTTGTGCATTTTTCCCCATATTCCATCCAGTTCGCTTTATTTTTATAATATATTACACTTGATCTTTCTTGAATAAGTTTCTCCATTTCTTTTTGTTTTTCCTCTAATTTATTCTGAGCCTCTATGTTACAGTTTTTATTGCCATCTATCTGTTCTGTTAGACTTTCTATTTCCTTTGTTAGTATAAACTCTTTTGACCTAAATTGCTTTTGTTTTCGAGATGAGTACTGAATTGCATGGCCTCTAAAGGCACATTTAAAGGTCTCCCATACAATACAAAACAGTCCTGTAGCTTAGCATCTGCGTCATCTGACCACTTTTTTTTTTAGCCGAGTCACTGGTGCTTCCTGCTTTAGTTTTTGCTTATAAGCAGGAATCAGGAGGATAGAGTTATGGTCAGATTTGCCAAATGGAGGGCGAGGGAGAGCTTTGTATGCGTCTCTGTGTGTGGAGTAAAGGTGGTCTAGAGTTTTTTTTTCCTCTGGTTGCACATTTAACATGCTGGTAGAAATTAGGTAAAATGGATTTAAGTTTCCCTGCATTAAAGTCCATGGCCACTAGGAGCGCTGCCTCTGGATGAGCGTTTTCCTGTTCACTTATGGCCTTATACAGCTCATTCAGTGCAATCTTAATACCAGCATTGGTTTGTGGTGGTAAATAGACAGCTATGAAAAATATAGATGAAAACTCTCTTGGTAAATTGTGTGGTCTACAGCTTATCATAAGATACTCTACCTCAGGCGAGCAAAACCTTGAGACTTTCTTAGTATTTGATTTTGTGCACCAGCTGTTGTTTACAAATATACACAGACCGCCACCCCCTGTCTTACCGGAGTCAGCCGTTCTATCCTGCCGATGTAGCGTATAGCCCGCTAGCTGTATGTTGTCCATGTCGTCGTTCAGCCACGACTCGGTGAAACATAAGATATTAGAGTTTTTAATGTCCGGTTGGTAGGATAACCGTAATCTTAGGTCATCTAATTTATTCTCAAATGATTGAACATTGGGTAATAGGATTGATGGAAGAGGCAGTTTACTCGCTCGCCGTCGGATCCTTACAAGTCACCACAACCTACGTCCACGATATCTGTCTCTTTCTCATGCGAATGACGGGGATTTGGGCCTTGTCGGGTGTCTGTAGGATATCCTTCGCGTCCGACTTGTTGAAGAAAAAATCTTTGTCCAATATGAGATGAGTAATCGCTGTCCTGATATCGAGAAGCTCTTTTTGGTTATAAGAGACGATGGCAGAAACATTATGTACAGAATAAATTACAAATAACGCGGAAAAACACACATAATAGTACAATTGGTTAGAGGGCTGTAAAATGGCAGCCATCTTCTCCGGCGCCATTCAGCACTCTGCGGTCCCGTTCTATGAGCTTGTGTGGCCCACCATGTCACGGCTGAGCCGTTATTGCTCCAAGACGTTTCCAATTCACAATAACAGTTGACCGGGGCAGCTCTAGAAGGGCAGAAATTTGACTAACTGACTTGCCAGTTCCACGTTGAAAGTCACTGAGCTCTTCAGTAAGGCCGTTCTACTGCCAATGTTTGTCTATGGAGATTGCATGGCTGTGTGCTCGATTTTGTACACCTGTCAGCAACGGGTGTGGCTGAAATAGCCAAATCCACTAATTTTTAAGGGGTGTCCACATACTTTTGTATATATAGTGTATTACTTATGTATAGATAGATAGATAAAGTAATACAACTAGCCACCTAGCAATGTTATGAAGTTGGTTTTAGCTAGCCCAGATAGGTTCCCAACCTCATAACTAGCTACCAAGAAGCCATTTTATGCTATCAATAAAGTTAGAGTAGCTAGCTTGTCTAACTATCTTAGCTGGCTTGCCTGCTGGCAAGGTAGGTAGACTTTAGAAAAGCAAGCAATTACTAAGGGCGCTTTCACATATCCCCTTATGATCCGGATCCTGGAGTGTTCGGTACCCTGATATGCAATATAAATCATGCAAATGAGCCCTAGCTGAAAGGAATCCTGGACTTGTTTGAGTAGCGGGTCAAAGATGTCGATCTGGATAAGAGCGTCTGCTAAATGTAAAAAAGATCCAGGACCAGAGTAGCAGGTATTGTGACACGGCAGCTCGAGTTGTGTGGACATTTTTTTGCCCATTGTAAACAAGCTAGCTCGCTAACGTCATGTAGAATGTGTGTCTTACTAAATCGTTCCCTGAAACTGTTATTTTCAGGTCTTGTGAAAGCAAAACGTATTCTGTAGAACTCTCCAGGAAACTGAACCAGGGTATCGCATTTCATATGTGCAAACGCCCTAAATGAACTGAGTAAGACTCACAGTCCTTTCAATCTTTTACCCAGATTTTAGCAGAGATGCAGAGAAGTATATTTAGTATCTTTAAAAAAATAACTACTGGTCAGGAGGATACAGACAGCTCAAGAGTTAAGCTTAGATATGCAGAAAAATAAACATATTTTTGACATAGATTATGGCTCTAGATTGCAGGAAAAAGCTGTTGCTAAATTCTCCAATTTCCAGACAGGGGCCTTGCCCATCCCCCAGCCACCCTCAAGTACTTTGTGCCCCCTCAGATTTTGGGGTTGCATGACACCCATGTTTGTAATCATTATGCTACCTTCCCTTGCGGTTCCATCACTGCATATTGCTACTCACGACAGGACAAGATGCCATCCTGGTAGTATGTAGTGTAGGATAAATCAATTAACTCTGGGAGCGATGATGTTCTACAGCTGACCAGCAGTCATGTACTTCATCACACAACAGCCCTGCAGACAGAGAGAGATCAACTAAGCCATTGATTCCCATTGGATAACATGCCAACAAAGCCCTCTCATAAAACCTAATAAAACAGATGGAATATAATAATATTGTAGAGCAGCAGGTCCACTTTAGTGTGGTAAAATGGGTTCTTAAACAAACAAAAACGCGTACAGTGAAGTCCACATTTATCATTATGAGAGAAGTCTACTTTTGCCATTTGATCAAGTTATCAATGAGGAACCAAATGCAGTTGTGTTTACCTGATCAAGGGTTTCTATTATGTCCATTGAGGTCATCAAACTATCCCAGTCTAATTGATAAGGCCAAGGGCGTATGTAATCCACTATTCTGTTGGGGTTGTCGTCAACCATACCTTGGGCTTTGTGCCTGCAATATAAAACCATCACAAATCATATCAGGCAATGAACCTTGCTTTTTCTTTTTCATCAATAATAGGGTATGGCTAAAACACAGAATATAGGCATAATGTGTTTTTATGCCAATGTAAAGGCTCATTACTGAAAGATGGCTCATACTTACAGATAGCCATGAAACTCCTCAGATGACTTTCTCCATACCATGACGTCTGTCTGCAATAAGACACCTCAAGATAGTGGAAAACCCATAGAAGCAGAAGAAACATTCTGGTGCAGGTGCAGTTTTGCAAACACAGTAAAAGCTAAGGAGGAAATTAAAGTAAAAGTGGTTTAAGACATGTTGTGTGGTATACATCCCTTTCATAGTTTGTCTTCCTTTTAACTGCAAACTTTTCCAATCAATTAACTTTGAGCCAATATGAGGTGATAAATAGATTGTGAAAATACTATCACCCATCGATTTCTTGACTGCCCTCTACTCATCCTCATCCAGACTGTGTTATGAGATTAGGGTTTTCTGGAGTCTGGCTGTCAAAGCACTGGGGTCTTGCAAGCTTCCCATTTGACCCTATTCAAAACAATGTCAAACATCAACCCACTGGACACAAGCTTGTTTCAACATAATTTGTCAACGTATTGTGACGTGGAATCTACTTGGAAAATGCATTGGATTTTAAAAACGGTTGTTTTGAGGGTGAAACTTCAACCACAGGATAATGTCATCATGGTAACCAAATTTCAACAGACAAACCTTGTATACAATATGGTACATTTGTACCTTTTAAAACAACGTCAGATCTTCAACATTATATCCACTATCCAAAATAAAAACAATAGGTTGTACAGCACCTCCTACTGGAGAATGCTAGTGCCACTGCTTAGCTATGATATTTGTCACTTTCGTGATGATAATAATTGTTGAGAGACCTCCACTAAACTAAACAGATTCACTGTTGCTATTGAAGTCATTCGAAAAGGTATGTTTAACAGAACAAATTAAATATGACCATACTTTATCACTTGTACTGTATATTATCAATGATGCTATTTAGGCCTATATAGCATTTGCAAAGTCATCAACCGCTATTGTTTCAATTCAACCCAGAATTCTACTGAAAATAGACAATCCAATAGCCCTAGGGTTTCAAGCTTTGGTTGATTTCAAATGTAATGATATTGTATTTAGTGATATTGAATCGTGTTTGGTTGTCAACGCAACCAAATATCAACATTTGAAGGATATTTATCTTCTGCTTGGATAGTTCCATCTGTGCCACTGGTTTTATTGGTCTACAAATTAATAATTTATATGTTGGACTCACGTCTCAATCTTAACCAAAAATCTAAGTTAAGAATAGGAATAAAATTGAACTTTATTGAAAGTGCATTTAAAGTTTGATTTAGTCCTATTCTTTTACTTCGATTTTTGGTTGAGATGGAGACGTGAATCCAACATATCAATTATACATTTGTAGACAAACTGGAATTAATGGCAGAGTAAGTCAGTGGCACAGATGGAACTATCCAAGCAGAAGATACATCTCCTTCAAATGTTGATATTTGGTTGTGTTGTAGGCGTCTGCATACTAGGTTCGGTTTGCTCCTAGCAGAACTAGGCTAGACGAATTGAACGTTTATGCCTCGCATACTCCCTTTAAAAGACCTTCGCTTGAAAAACTTGAAAAAAGTGGCAGTAGTATTGTTGGTCCCTCTTGAGACTCCGTAGTCAGAATTAATCTAACTCAATAAATGTCATAATATACAGTGCCTTCGGAAAGTATTCAGACCCCTTCACTTTTTCCACATTTTGTTACGTTACAGCCTTATTCTAACATTGATTAAATTGTTTTTTGTTTCTCATCAATCTACACACAATGACCCATAATGACAAAGCAAAAACAGTTTTTTTTAAAAATTTTGCTAATTTATTACAAATAAAAAACGGAAATATTACAGTATATTTTTAAGTATTCAGACCCTTTACTCAGTACTTTGTTGAAGCACCCTTGGCAGCTTCTGAGCTCTGGCTGGGCCACTCAAGGACATTCAAAGCCACTCCTGCATTGTGCCGAAGCACCTCCTGCGTTGTCTTGGCTATGGGCTTAGGGTCGTTGTCCTGTTAGAAGGTGAACCTTCACCCCAGTCTGAGGTCCTGAGCGCTCTGGAGCAGGTTTCATCAAGGATCTCTCTGTACTCTTTGCCTCGATCCTGACTAGTCTCCTAGTCCCTGCCGCTGAAAAACATCCCCACAGCATGATGCTGCCACCACTATGCTTCACCGTAGGGATGGTGCCAGGTTTCCTCCAGACGTGACACTTGGCATTCAGGCCAAAGAGTTCAATCTTGGTTTCATCAGACCAGAGAATCTTATTTCTCATGGTCTGAGAGTCTTTAGGTGCCTTTTGGCAAACTCCAAGCGGGCTGTCATGTGGTTTTTACTGAGGAGTGGCTTCCCTTTGGCCACTCTACCATAAAGGCCTGATTGGTGGAGTGCTGCAGAGATGGTTTTCCTTCTGGAAGGTTCTCCAATCTCCACAGAGGAACTCTGGAGCTCTGTCAGAGTGACCATCGGGTTCTTGGTCACCTCACTGACCAAGGCCCTTCTCCCCCGATTGCTCAGTTTGGCCGGGCGGCCAGCTCTAGGAAGAGTCTTGGTGGTTCCAAACTTCTTCCATTTAAGAATGATGGAGGCCACTGTGTTCTTGGTGACCTTCAATGCTGCAGAAAGGTTTTGGTACCCTTTCCCAGAGACAATCCTGTCTCGGAGCTCTATGGACAATTCCTTCGACCTCATGGCTTGGTTTTGGCTCTGACATGCATTGTCAACTGTGGGACCTTATATAGACAGGTGTGTGCCTTTCCGAATCATGTCCAATCAATTGGATTTACCACATGTGGACTCCAATCAAGTTGTAGAAACATCTCAAGGATGATCAATGGAAACAGGATGTAACTGAGCTCAATTTCAAGTGTCATAGCAAAGGGTCTGAATACTTACGTAAATAAGGAATTATTACTATTCATTTTTTAATTAGCAAAACAATCTAAACCTGTTTTCGCTTTATTATAGGGTATTGTGTAAAGATTGCTGAGGAATTGTTTTATTTAATCAATTTTAGAATAAGGCTGTAATGTAACAAAATGTGAAAAAGGTCAAGGGGTCTGAATACTTTCCGAAGGCACTGTATGCACAAACTGTTTCGGTTGGAAAGCATGCGGACGCCTACTCACCACGCCTCGTTCATGATGGTGAACTGCTCTGCACATTATTTTGACAACATCCTTTATTTAGCCTGCCTTGTCACTAAAGGAAGAGGAGGGCAACATTCCTCCCTGGTTGACCTTGCATAGGTAATGTTCTCTTGCAGCTTGACAGAATCTCTGGGAAAAGCCGTTTCCCAAAAATAAAGTGAATCTACTCTATTATTTTCTATTGTACAGTTATTCTAATCTATTATAAAGCTATTATATTATTATTTGTTATATTATATTCAAATGCTATTGCATATAACCTACACTTTATAGTCTGAATGGTAAGGTTTATTCATGAATAATGACTTTTTCCATGCAACCTACAGTATGATATACAGTTTTCACATGATCGTTTTCTATTTGTGTGTTCAAATGATTTACTATTGCAGAGACCCAGGGGCCAATTTATGAAATGGAAGGACCTCAATAAGGTAGCCTAAAAATGCTTTTATAATTATGCCAACAAATAAGATGGTTGTTTACATCAAACATAAAGATGATTCACAGAGCGTTTACACTATACAAGCGGCACTGGTCTACCCACGCTAGCCTCGCCCTCATATGGGTGCTAAAAAAATCGAGCAAGCTAGGTAGTGCTACGTATCAACAGCCATTTTCAGCCAATCCAGTAGGGGTTTGGAAGCTATGGTGAGCTTCGATTGGTCACTCGTGTAGCGATATCGCAGAGGATTTGAATAAAGTTCAGCTCTAGTCCCGCCCTGTTCAGCACCCTAGCCCATGCGCCTGCTGCTGAAAGGTCTCCCGCCCACCCCGCTTGGTAGTGTACAGCATAGTCTTCTCTTTTCAGCAGGAGCCATTTGCTTTCCAACCTGTGTTTTCCCTTGATTTGTATTTTAAATATTGCGAAAGGCCTGTTTTGTCTGCATGCTGTTTTTTCACTGACAGATTTATAGCGCTTTCCCGACTGTAGGCTATTTCTTGTTATTGGGCTACAATCCACAAATAAGCTATTGATGCTCTGTGGTAAATTATAGGCCTTCTCATGATATAGTAGGCTATTCGGAATGATTTCCTTTATTTCTGAACAGACAGCAGTAATTCTATAACTTTGGCAAATGTATTTCAATTTATCAGGGGTGCTGCAGTTCCTTCAGAAACTTTCGCAAGATTCTTTAAGGAAATAAATGATGAAGTGCAACGCTGGACAGATGAGAGTTGCGGGCTCATGTTTATCAGAGAAGAGAGGGAGAGAGATCATAGAAAGTGAATCTCATTCTAGTTATGTGAGATATACTGGTGCACTTCTCACACAGCCACGGTCTCAAACATAGGTTACAATGTTGTGCAAACCATAAACCTGGGCCAGCCCAATCCGAATCAGCTCTTAGAATACTAGGCAGAGGCTAAAAATCTACTTTTCACATTGTTTTTTTGTGGGGGCAGGAGAATTAACGAAGAAGCAACTCAAATGAACTTTGATCGCTTTCATTAAAAGTTTTACATTGCAAAAAGTGAAAATTATTTTTCATGCCACCAGAGGTATCGGATCCGGTCAAATAGGTTCCGGAACAAAACAGTCCAAAACGAAGAGGTGCCGGCTCAAAAAAAGCACTGGTTGTTAGACAAAGCAAGGAAAAAAATGAACTTTAAAATGTGATGTAGATTTATTAGAATTTGCAGCTTTTGTTGGTAAAAAAATAATGTGCTAGCTTCTGACATGACTTACTCCATTTATAAAGAGAGCAGTTGATGGGTTACTTAAACAGCTCTATCTATTGATTTTCTTTTTTTCTTCTTTTTTTGGAGTGGGGGTGTCAGCTTCCTGCCTCCTGTTTGTCTCCGGGCCTCTAGAGGTCATCTGTGTTCCCCTCTGCCTTAGTTCTTCCTCGTGTGTCCTTATTAGCTTTATCCAGGTCACCTGTGCCTTGTTTCCCCTAGAGTATTTTAGCTGTGTTTTTTCCCCTTGTTCCTCACTTGGTCTTTGAGTCCTGGCTATGTGT